CATCAAATCAAAACAGTATTTGACATCGGAACGGAAAAAAAGAAAAGAATTCATCCTTCAAATTTGGGATTTTGATTCGTCTGTTGGTTGTGTTCGTCTTAGTGTTGCGAAGCTATGAATTTTTCACAGCATTTGTCCCATGACTCTCATCTTCCAATCCACCAGTGATGTAGCGTGTGACTCAAGTAAAGTGTTTTATTGTTCTTCTTTCTTTTCTTTATTTTCTTTCATTTCTATGTTTTTACCGTTTAAAATGCGAAATGAAATAAAGGACCATTTTATATGTAAGAAGAGAGAAGAAAAAACATACTGTTTACTCGGTAAGATCTATTATTTGATAGAAAAGCTAATAGAGTTTGTTTTTTTATTTGTCTGTGAAGATATTGAAAGATAAATGTGAACATGTGTAATCGCTGATGTCTCTTGAAGAGAGTTTTTGATTGGTTTAGCACTCTACTGGCATTGTTTCGGTTTAGTTCAATTTTGTGTGTTTATACTTTTGGTTTCTCAGTTATCTTGATTCGGTAACAGCTAAAACAAAGTTACTAGCTGAACCAATTTGGAAATTTGTTTCGGTTTAACTGGTTTTAACTTTTAATCGATTAAAAAGGAAATAAATTCGATAGAACAAGAAAAAGTAAAAGATTGCGGCTTTGCGTTGCCAAATTCGAAGCAAGGCGCTGAGCTTTATGATTTATGTATATGAATTACAATGGGACACGTTAAAACAATTAGCACCAGTGGTCTAGTGGTAGAATAGTACCCTGCCACGGTACAGACCCGGGTTCGATTCCCGGCTGGTGCAAATGAGCTGTGAGGAAATTGGCTTTAGCGTTGGTTGGGTCCTTCGCACTCTTCTGAGGTAACTTGGATGTAAGGTCTCGTACTGAGCTCTGTTTTTTTTCGTTCTTCTATCTTAAAGAACCAAGTGGTTTCATATAATTCAAAGACCATAATGATTCAAATCCCCTTTCCTTTGCGCTTACCCAAGACTATATAAGTCGGAATTTAATCATTTATACATCATACATGTCCCAAAATTTCCTATAAGATTATTTAACAAAAGTGCATCGATTGCGGTGAAACTGTCCAAACACCTCCAATAAGTCTCAGAATTAGTAACTACGACTTCTTTATCCCTCTATTCATATTTCACCATCAAGAGAAAGATATTTTTCTTCTGCGTCACGTTTTGTAGAAAATTTTGAGTTTAAGCTTCCCGAAACTAATTCCTGATGAGATTGGATCTCTCTCCGCCACTGGCTTCATCATCAAGAATGAGGATTTGACTGAGGGGAAACCATGGCCATGACTGGTTCCAATATGATCAGGAAGACGTATGATTTTACAAGGCAGAAGATTACTAGGAAGATTACTAGGATGATCATTTACCCTGCCGCCAACTCTACCTTGAGGAGCAAGAAAGGGATTGTCATTGGAGTGGCCAGAGTACGTCGAATGAAATGTATGATATTGTCAACGACGACCTCATTTTTGAGGAGATGGACAAAGCGAAACCGACGGTGATCGAAGATATGGAAACCATAGTGATCGACGTGGACTCACATGGACTGATTCCTCTACAGGGCTTCTCACTAATCATGATCTCTCATCACTACAATGACCAGTCGAAGAAACAATTCGCCCCCTGTGAGATGCAGAGGCAGTTCTTGACTAGTTGTGATCAATCAAGAAATCATCTGAAGAGTCGAAGTCAAGTGGGAGGCTCTTGATGAGATGCTGTCAAAGGCGTGGTTTTGGGGAAATTAAAAAATGTTAGGGCTCTTTTTGTTATAGCAGTCGCATAATTTGCTGATAAACGGACTGGGGATAACTAAAATTAGGGTTTTCAATCAAAGTATTTGGGGGAAATTAATTAATGAGTAGCACGTGAGAGTAGCATGTTAATTACAATCTCTTATGGCCTGATCTTTAATTTATCCCACATCGGATAATTAGTACCCGAGACACAAGTATATATTCCGTTGCTGATTATGGTAAGGATAACAACTCGTGGGAAATGGTGGCTTAGGGCTATACGGTTTGCTTAACCAAGAGTCCTAAGTGCTCACAAACCGGTCCATACTCCTTCTAACAAAAGGTTCTAGGGGCAAGCTTGTTCGGTCCATTCTCATGGACATATCTAATTCATAAGGTTCTAGGGGCAAGCTTGTTCGGTCTATTCTCATGGACATATCTAATTCGTAGATCTTAATTAAACCTTAATTATCACAAACATGACCATATATAATTTGCTTTTAGTTTGGTAGCATTTTTGCGAGTGTCTAAAAGGGTAAAAGATGTAAAATACGCCACTAAATTTGATATAAGCCACCGGACATATGTGTAAAAAGACCAATTATCAAATCAAAACGGATCAGTGATATTCATCCTTCAAATCTGGGAATTTGATTTGTCTCTTGGTTGTTCGTCTTGGTCTTCACAGCATCAATCTCATAATTTTTTAATTTATCAATGATGTAGCGTGTGATTCAAGTACATCTGTTGCTGTCATTAATTAGATTTTTATTATTATTCTTTATTTTCTTTGATTTCTATTTCTTTTTCTTCAGCTGGCTTTTACCATTTGCGAACGTACGATTTAACCTAAAACCGAAGAAGAAATTTTAGAGACTTATGATACAAGCAGAATAAGTTTTGTAAACTCTTGGAAGAGCAAGTGTCATGTCCCAGTTTTTCAAACCAGACCCATTTGTTATTCAAACCCGAATTGAAACGGTTTAAACCTCAATTCTCATTTTTTAATATTTCTTTTTTCTTTCGAAAAATAAATATTTTCTATTTTTGATAATATTATATTTTTAATGTGATATTAATGAACCTATTCCTAAAGAGATTTGTAAATATCTTTTCTAATAATTATTCTATTTTTCATAATTATCTCTATTTCCTACTCAAGTTTCCCATTGGATATAAATACAGAACCCTCTTCCCATTATTTTCTTCATTTTAAACTTTCAGAGAATAGAGAACCCTAAACTCTCTTCTCTCTCTTTTCCGGCCGCCGAGTTCTCTCTCTCCCCACCATCGTATTCTCTCTCCTTGCCGCCATGCTCTCTCCTTCTCTCTCCTCACCCCGATGCTCTCTCCTTCTCTCTCCTCGCCGCGATGTCCCATCGCTCACCATCTTTGCTGTTACAGCCGTCTAACGCAGCCTTATTCTAGATTAGTCTTCATGTGGCTTCTCTTAGTCACGTCTGGGATCATAGCTGTGGCCGTCTGGCACCTTGCATTCTGACAGGTCCGACTCGTATTCAACCTCGTCTTAATATGGCTATGCTTATCGAGCAGTCGGACCCGTCGGAATGCGAGGTGCTAGGCGACCACGGCTATGATCCCAGACGTGACTAGGATAAGTCACATGAAGACTGATCTAGAATAGGCGGGCGTCAGACGGCTGTGACGGCGAAGATGGCGAGCAGCGAGATATCGAGGCGAGGAGAGAGAAGGAGAAAGCGCGGTGGTGAAGAGAGAGAAAGATGAGAGAAAAGATGATGGCGGCGAGAGAGAGAACTCGGTGGCCAGAAAATAGAAAGAAAAGAGTTTAGGTTTCTCTGTTTTCTGAAAGTTTAGAATGAAGAAAATAATGAGAATGTGGTTTTCTATTTATATCCAATGAGAGACTTGGACAGGAAAAAAAATAATCACAAAAAAAGAAAAGATAATTATTAGAAAGGGTATTTACAAATTCTTTTAGGATTATGTTCATTAATATATTAAAAATGGGATCTGGAATGATTATGTTATCCTTTATCTATTAATTGAGAATGTAGTTTAATGAAAGATGTTGATTTGTTTTAATTTAATTGGTTAATATGTTTAGTTTGAACAATTTTAATGTGATATGGAAATAATGATATGTAATGATGATGTAATTGTGACATGTCAATTTTTAGTACATATGGCTTGTGACATAGATTATTTAACCTATAAAAAAATTTGATGTTAAAATTTTGATACAAAATTAAAGTATTCAAATTTTTGATAAAAAATTAGAAAAATTATATTTTTGTCAAATAGATTTGAAATTATATTTCGACACAAAAATTTTGCCAAATTTTTTTTACAGATTTCAAGTATTTAGCAGAAAATTTGTGACAACCTATTTAACCATAATTTTTTTGATATCACATTTTTGACATAAAATTTATGGATTCATAATATTTGACAAAAACTCGCGAAATCAAATTAAAATACTCTAAAATAAGTGTTTTCGTGGGAAAATTATCAAATTCATGTCTTACAAATATATTACTAAATAGATCAATCACTTATTAATAATATATATTATTAATAATTACTTTTTTTGTAAAATTTTCATGAGCGGCACATATGTGCGGGCCAACTACCTAGTTTTAATTAAATTAAAATATTATTTTATTTTATTTCAAGTTTGGGAATCTTTATAATCGTTTTAGTTATTAAATTTTATTAATAGTGGGAAACATTTTTTATCCCACTCCCACTCACTCTTCCTTTTTGCTGATTCTTTATCTATTGACTGATACTAGCAAAGCCTCAGGTTACATGTCGCAATTTGGATATTATATTAAAACTCAAAATTTGGATAATATAAGAAAACTCAATATTGGAATTATTATCCTCTCCCAAATGAGTCTCTGATTAGTTATTAACGATCATGATCGCAAAGCATACTTGTATTTGTATACAATTTACATGCAGCTGACCCGGAAAAAGACGGTGAGAGACAACAAGTATACTATAAATTATAAACCTCGGCATATGGCCCACCTGAAGGCCCATATACAATTCTCTTTTGGACTTTTTTAAGTGGCACTTGCAAAAGGGTCCCGCGTGCAACAAATGCTTTTCATTTCGAAAACTGTTCACGCTCTCGTGATTATTGTTATACTATGTTTGTTTGTTCAGACTTCAGTGTCAGAGGCGGAGAGTGACTTCGATGAGAAAATAAAACTCTTTAGGGATTCAACTCTTTTGAGTAAAATCTCTCTCTTGAGATGGCGTCCATGGCGATCGGCGTCAACCTATCGATGACTAGCCGCGTAGGAGGTGGAGGAGACGATGTTGATCGATTATTGACGGCCGCACCGACGACGCTGAAGCTGAATCAGAAGAATTCGCGGAGCGAGAGTAGATGTAGGAGGTCTTTTGGGATGAAAAGGTTTCGGGTTACCGGAGCAATCGCTAAGTCGGTCGTCGTCGACGGAGAGGAGAAGATCCAGAAGAATCTGAGAGTTGGACTTATTTGCGGAGGTCCGTCGGCGGAGCGCGGGATTTCTCTCAACTCTGTTAGATCAGTTCTCGATCATATTCAGGTTTATTTAAATCCTTAAATCAATCTGGGCTTTAGATGTTTGTTTGATTAAATCGTTTTGATTTTTTTTTTGTTCATCAGGGTAATGGTATAAGCGTGAGCTGCTATTATATAGATCCTGATCTCAACGCTTATGCAATTTCCTCTGCCCAGGTTTGCTCATGCTGACGTTGTATTGGCATTTGCAAAAGTTCGCTCTGCTTTAATTTTAATTTGATTCCCTTTTTTGTTTGTGAAAATTTTTAGGTGTACTCGAATACTCCAGCAGATTTTGATTTCAAGCTCGAGAGGTAAGGGTTCTGAAAACTCGTTCATGGGACAATAATAGTGACAATTTTAGCTGAGTGACTTGCTTTTTTTTTTTCTTTTTTTTTTCATGGTGTAGTCTTGCACATGCTTTCTCTTCATTATCGGAATTAGCTGAGCATCTTGTTTCAGCTGTGGACATTGTTTTCCCAGTGATTCATGGTCGATTTGGTGAAGACGGTGGCATTCAGGTTTTTCTTTGTTCTATTGGAAGTATATTTTGTCATGGAACCTTGAAAATAACGTTTGTTTGATTAATGGATGTGTGCAGGAGCTTTTGGAGAGTCATAACATTCCATTTGTTGGGACCGGATCCCGTGAATGTCGTCGAGCCTTTGATAAGGTTGATAGAATAGGAAGAGCCTTGGATTCATTAACATCTTAATTTCTTTAGCTCTCATTTACTTATTATATACTCATCGACATCTCAAGTAGTATAGTTCTTGATTACTTTCTGTGAACTAATTCCAGTATGAAGCCTCTTTGGAGCTCAAGAAACACGGGTTCGTGACAGTACCGAACTACTTGGTGCAGGTAATATATTTGGTCTTTATCTACATTCAATTTCTACTTCATAACGCATATACAAATATGTTGTCTGATAAACATAACTTCACTCAGGGAACTGGAGTAGACGAAAGTGAAATAACGCTATGGTTTACGGATAATCATCTGGACCTTGAGGTGGGAAAAGTCGTGGTAAGCATCCGAAAATGTTATCTAAAGATCCCTATTCCTCTGCATTTTTTTATTTCTCTTCTCTTCACTTCATGTCTGTCTGTTTCAGGTAAAACCAGCTAACGCAGGATCAAGCATTGGTGTCAAAGTTGCTTTTGGAGTAAAAGATTCAGTTAAGAAGGCTATTGAACTTATTCAAGAGGTATGTCCTTTGTTTTTAATCTTCGACAATTCGAGTAGGAACTTGGAAGTGAGGGAATGGAAATATCTATTTCTTAAAATAGAATATCTATTTACTGACAGGCGGTTTGTTTGTTTTGTCTGACAGGGAATTGATAATAGGGTTGTTGTTGAGGTGTTTATTGAAAACGCATATGAGTTTACTGCCATCGTCCTGGATGTGGCTTCTGATTCTGATTGTCATCCTGTTGTGCTGTTGCCTTCTGAGGTAATCACACATTTTTCACTGCCTTTATGAGTCACGGTTTCAGAGCTTGTGCCAGATGTCTTGTTTGGTCTGAAGTTACATAGACTACTTTCACATGAATCATGTGAATCTTAGACTTGTAAAACTTGGGACTCAGTGGGTGAGGAAAATGTTCATTTAATTCCTCAATTATTTGCAATGGGCATATTAAATTTTCAACTATCATTTGCACAAAATAATTTTTCAACTTGTAGTTAGAGTTCGCAAAATCATGATCAAAATAGTCAACGGTTAATCTTGAAATGACAAAACGTTAAATCTATTTCTCTGTCATCAGAAAAATACTCATTTAATTCCTCAACTATTTGCAATCAACATATTAAATCTTAAACTACTGCATGCGCATAATAATTTCTCAATTAGTAAATAACTTTGCAAAATTGTGATAAAAATATTTTTGGGAATATAAGATGGTTTTTCCGTAACATCCCATACCCGTTCCGAATTTCTCTTTCCCAATTTCATATAAAATAATTACATACAAAATAATTACCTGTTTGAAATCATTTATTTTATACTAAATAGGCATGAGAAGACAATAACTATGAGATATGATAACTGAATAAGCCGTTTAATGATTTAAAATTTAAAATTTGAAAATTTAATATATTTTCATGAAATTATCCAAATTATCCGAATTTTCTAAAATTATCCAAAAATATATGTTCCAAAGTTATCTATATCCAAAATAATTATCTGTTTGGAAAGAATTTTAAGTAAGAAAATTTCATGAACCTGTTTCACTACGCAAACTTTTATAAAAGTTTCCCAATTTTTTAAAAATTCTTGTCTTGAGTCAAACCAAACATCCAAAAAAATTCAGAATCAAATTGACACGTAACCAAAAAAAAACTGAACTAAAACCAGCTTTTAAATGGGTATTTATCGGTTCTTAAAATGCTCATTTAATTTTTTAATTATTTGTGATAGACAATAATTTATGGATATAGGCCGGAAACAAAAAAAATTGAAAATTGGAAACAATTCCCAAAAGGGAATCTGATAAGAACAGAAGAAAGTTTGTGTAACACTCAACTTTGGATAATTATTTTGGGTAAGGATCAATTTCAACACATATATTTCAGATAATTTTGGGAAAACTTGGACAATTTTGCGAAAATTTGGAAAATATATTAATGTTTTAATTTTTAATTTTTAATTTTTAATTTTTAAACGGATAATTTGGTCATCAGATCTCATAGTTGTTGTCTTTCCATATCTATTTAATATTAAATAAATGATTTCAAACAAGTAATTAATTTGTAAGAAATTGTGAAAGTGACGGAAAATTCAGAACGGGTACGAGATGTTACCGAAAAGGTATCCAAAATGTCTAAAAATATTTTTATTACGATTTTGTGAAGTTAATCACTAGTTGAAGAATTATTATGCGCATGAAAAATAGTTAAGAATTTAATGTGCTAATTGCAAATAGTTAGGTATTTAACGTTTTGCCGTTTCAAAGTTAACAGTTGACTATTTTGATCACAATTTTGCAAAATCAACTACACGTTGAGAAATTATTTTGCGCAAATGATAGTTGAGGATTTAATCCAATTGCAAATAGTCAGGGAATTAAACGAGACTCAGTGATAGACCTGCTTTGGGGGTTTATAGAATGGCTCTCTACATGTCTCATTTTTAATTTCTTACTTATCCAAATGCTTATGTGGTCAGGTGGAACTTAAGCTCCATGGCAGTGGTGATACGAAAGAAAACGCGATCTTCGACTACCGGAGAAAGTATCTGCCGACACAACAGGTACTGCTGATAGTAACATAGTTCTTGCAATATCTATTACTACAGGTTTGTTTCCCCTCACAGTGTGTTTATTTTAAATAAACAGGTCACTTATCATACTCCTCCTCGTTTCCCTATCCATGTTATCAAAAGCATACGTGAAGAGGCAGCTCTTCTATTTAAAAAGCTAGGTCTACGTGATTTCGCTCGCTTTGATGGATGGTATTTGACTCCCACTTCAAATTTAGCATCATCTGGAAGTGAAACGCTTACAAGACCAAAGTCAGAGGATATTATATTTACAGACCTCAACCTGGTTAGCCTATCGCCTTGGAATAAACTATTTGTATTTTGCATCGTTCTTAGAAGTAAGACTAAGATGCATTTCTCAACTGCTTTTTACAGATAAGTGGCATGGAGCAAACTAGTTTATTCTTCCAGCAGGCTTCAAAGGTAATTAAAAGATATTTTCCTAATCTTTTTGTCTGCAATAGATCTTCTCACTGATAGTTGTTAGCAAATGGTAATGGAAACTTCATAATAAAAGTTTAAGGTGCGATGTATTTGTTCATTTATCACTATTTTCTCTCATGCCTGCCGCATTATATTACCATACATGACTGGATTCTATTTAGATCACCAGTTCTTACATTCAGGTTGGGTTTTCTCATTCAAACATTTTACGAACAATCATCCACCGAGCTAGCTCAAGGTATCCCCATCTTGCTTGGTATAATCATGAGTCTAGTCATTTACTCGGTGGTTCAACAACCCCGGAAATCCCCGGAGACGTCAAGAAAGTGTTTGTCCTATTTGGAGGAGACACTTCAGAGCGGCAGGTCTCCGTCGTCAGTGGAACAAATATCTGGATGAACTTGCAAAGATTTGAAGATGTAAGTTGAAAAAAATGAAGCATTATGGCATTTGAGGTGTAATCTTCAATTCTAGACGGCATTGTTGTTAACCTATCATCTATTAGCAACATCATTGCCCTGACTCTAGTGATGTTATTGTTTACAGCTTAAAGTAACTCCCTGCTTACTTTCCTCATCAATTAGCAACTCAATGGGTGCATTTACGGACAAAACCAGAGCAGATTTGGACAATAGAGAAGTCTGGTTGTTGCCGTAAGTATATTCTCTGACTCCAGTATAGTGTCATAGTTACCTGTTTCTAGTTCAACTGATCCAACTAGAAACAAAATACAAACGTTGACCGAAACTTCAGTACCGCATGGATGTCCAACAAGACAAAGATTATATAGATTGGAACAAAACATTTTGGCCTTTCACATGCATGTATGAAAGTATTCGAGCGTTTCTCAGTTTAAAGCGCATGACAAATGATTTTCTTCCTTCTCAGGTACTCTGCTGTGCTAAGGCACACTGTTGAGGAAGTTCTTGCAGCGTGCTTGGAAGCAATTGAGCCTGATCGAGCTCTGTTTACATCTCTACTTCAGAAGCAAGTGATGGATGATCTTATGGATGCTTTGAAGAATCAAAGCTGGTTTGCAGGGTTCGATATAACAGACGAAGTGCCCATGAAATACTCGTTGAAAGATTGGGTTAAGCTTGCAAAGGAAGCTGAAGCAACCGTCTTCCTTTCAGGTCAGTCTTAAAACCGAGACACTGCTATGGCAAGAACGAAAACAAAAGATCGGAATGCTGATTGATAAATCCAGAAACACTTTTATCTGTTAAGAGAGTACTTACATTCTTTATGCAACTCACTCTCAGTCGCTATATCCTTAACAGTGTTTTGTGATTTTATTATTTGAATGCTAACCGGCAGCGCATGGAGGTATTGGGGAAGATGGTACGATGCAGGCCTTACTGGAGGATGAAGGAGTTCCTTACACAGGTTCTTTGAAACTTATGACGCAAGCAAGCATTAGGATTTCTCTTTGATTCTCCACGTGTCATATGTTTCAACCGCTATTGATTTGGTTTCCTCTTTCGTTCTTAAATGAAGGTCCAGGAGTAAATGCTTCAAGGATTTGCATGGACAAGGTTATGGCATCTCAGGCTCTTAGTCATGTATGGTAACGAAGCCAATATACTATTTTCATTATTAAAAAAAAATGTGAGTAACATTGTAACAAAAAACTTTGTTTTTTTGAATGCATGTGTTTCCCATAATCAATTAGCTTTCAGAGTTTGGAGTTCATACCATAAGCAAGGATGTCAAGAGAACAGAGGATATAATACATGAGACCATCCCAGACATTTGGGATGAATTGATTACCAAGCTTCAGTGTCAGACACTGTGTGTTAAACCAGCAAGGGATGGTTGCTCCACTGGTGTTGCAAGATTATGGTAACTAAAAAGTCCTTCGCCAATCATTCGACCACCAAGTTTTATATATACAATCTTTAAACCTTTGGGTTTTCATGCAGTTCCTCTGAAGACCTTGCTGTATATGTACAAGCTTTAAAAGATTGTCTACCAAGGATTCCCGCAAACACTTTATCTAAGGTAAAAAAAAGTCATTCATTCTATTTGTACAAACCTTAAGGCCTTCATTGATAAAGCAGGATTATGAAAATTCCCTATGTAGACACATGGAATGATTGAGATGCCAAATCCTACCCCGGAGCTCTTGATTTTTGAACCATTTGTTGAGACCGATGAGGTCATAGTGTCATCCAAAGCCAATCAAAAGCTCTCTTGGAAAGGTCAAAAGCGGTGGGTAGAGATAACCGCGGGTGTCATCGGAAAGTATGGCTCGATGCATTCGCTAAGTCCTAGTCTTACCGTGAAGGAAAGTGGCGATATATTGTCACTTGAAGAGAAGTTCCAAGGTACCCCCACTCTTTTTGTTTCTTCTTCCTTGCAAGTTCATATCGACTTTTTATAACTATTGAGAGTTTTTATTAGTTCTTTATTATATCTTTGATAGGTGGCACTGGCATAAATCTTACTCCACCTCCACCACCAATCATGAGGTTTGTTATAATCTGTTTCTGTCTAAAACTTCTTTTGTGGTATTATTAGGACATGGAGTAAATTAAAAAAGAAGAGAGAATTTTACTTTGTAGAAAAAAAAGGTATTATCTGTATATAGAAGCTGATGAGTGTGTGATTTCAGTAAGGAGGCTTTAGAGAGATGCAAACAAGGAATGGAGCTGATTGCGACAACTCTCGGGTTAGAAGGGTTTTCAAGGATCGATGCTTTCGTGCACGTTGAAACCGGAGAGGTATGATCCGATCCGACCTAGAGAATTACTTTGCATTCTACTTAATGTTAAAATTCAATCGAAAATCAGTTTACTCACAAGATCAGTTATGCAGGTGATGGTAATAGAGGTGAATACAGTTCCAGGAATGACTCCTTCCACTGTTTTAATCCAACAGGTGACACTTCCTTCATTCAAATATGTTTTTAAAGTATATCAAACTAAACTGAAACAGCAACAACAAAGAAGTGGTTTGTTTTGGATTGTGTTTGTTTTTATCAATGAACTTAACTCGTTTTTTATTCAAAGAACTTTTTGTATTCAAAGATGTGTTAGAAGTATATCAACTAAACTAAAACAACAACAAAAAAAGTCGTTTGTTTTTGGTTTGTGTTTGTTTTTATCAAAGAACTTAACTCTAGTGGGACACTGAGATAAACACATTCTTGTTTTGTTTTGGGATTCGAAACAAACCCAAAGGCAATAGCAGAGGAGCCACCAATGTACCCTCCTCAATTCTTTCGCACACTTCTCCACCTTGCTTCACAAAGAGTCAAGTAAGTTGTTCCCAAAGGCACCAGCACGGCTGGTAAAACTTTAGTGGTATGTTCAAGATATGTTACACTCCCAGTAGCATAATACAACCAAGCCCACCTCATGAAAGTTCATGAGGCTTGATTTGTAGAACTGGTTAGACTATTTATGTTCAAATATATATATATAAGTTTAACCAGTTCCACAAGTCAAGTCTCTCGTGGAATGAGCTTCTATGGGGTGGGGTTTGGTTGTATTATGCTACTGGAAATGTAACCTATCTTGAACATGCTACACTCGCATTTTGGCCAGGTGCCTTTGAAAATAGCTCTTACTATGGCGTATATAGCTTGGGACAACAAGCTTCCAGGGGATCAGGTTTGTTCTTTTAAGTTGAGATTTATGTAAAGCTAAGTCTTAAACCCACCTGATGATACGCTTACTACTTTCATGTGCTTTTTAGTGTTGCTCTTGACACAATCAAGCGCCACTTGTTCTGAAACATAATGGGGGAGAGACGAGTGCCATTTTGTTGTATCCTTGGCTCTGTTCTATATATCTCTATGGCATTTTAATTTCAATGTGGACGACATACCATCAGTTTAGCTATTGTGCTGGTATTTTCAACGGTGAAAGATGACAACAGATAACTCTCTCATTGCTTAAAGGGACTCTTTTTCCTCTCTTTTGTTTTGTTAAGAAACCCATTGTGATCATGGAAACATATAAATTTTTATGACGCATGAGATTTATCTTTCATTCAATCTAAAATTCTATCATCCAACAAAAATTGACTTATCTCCTATCACAAACATGACGATAACGTTTAAAACCCTAATCATAATATCAATGTGATACAGCGTATCCTTAACCTTGTTAAACACGTTTCGGCTTTTACGTTTGACAAAATTTTGGCTTTCTTTTCCTTTTCTTTTGAAACTTATGTTTCCTATCTTGGATGAAGCGGCGATCGCGACTCTTCGAAACGGATTCTGGTACGAATCCGATCTCTATGAAAAATTGAAAAAAATAGACCCCAGATGCCGGAGGATGCACTGCATAGAGCGACAGTCTTTATTGAACTGGAAAAAGAGAGAATCGAAAAAGCAAAAAAATACAGAGTTCCCAAAGAGCCGACTCCGAAAGAGAAGCTGAAAGAAGAGTATCACGAGCCCCGGCAGCACTTCGATATCAGCTATCAAAGGAATGATAGAGGGAACAAGCCATCCACTTTCGTCGTCAATGACACATAATTCAACAAATGGCGCGGCGGACGATCGAACAAACACATTCGACCGAATCACCAAGAGTCACCCGGAGGTTCAAAACCGTTCTGCACTTTCCACAATCATTATGGCCACTCTGACGAAGAATTCCGACTACTGCACGAAAGTATGTTCGCACAATACCAGAGATAGCTTAAGGAATGTGGCGGAAGTTCGTTGGCATGGCCAAAAGAGAAGAGAGGAGACCCCCAACCTAAGAGCGAGAGAGAGCGCTCTTCAAAATCGTCCAGGTGCAGGCTAGACAACAGCCCGCACTCGCTCTGCCAGGTCCACTACCCGGGTCTCCCCCAAAAAGAGGACACAACGGCCAAGACGACGGTGACGCCTAACTCCCCGCGATAAGAAGAACCAACATGATCATGGGAGGACTCCCTACGTGCGGAGACTCGGTCTGTTCAATCAAAGGTACGAAAGACAAAGTATCGCCGCCCAGAAGTGGAAACACCACGCCATCAACGAATTCAAAGCCGGCCACAACATATCTTTCGAAGAAGAGGACTTAGAAGGAATAGACACGCCGCACAATGACCCACTCGTCATAGATCTTCGAATCGGCGACTGCGAAGTCACCCGCATCCTAGTAGACACCGGCAGCACCGTCGACCTGATATTCAAAGAAATGCTGCAGCGAATAGAACCATAAGAAAACAAGTTCAATGCAAGCGTCAAATCACTTACGGAATTCGCGGGAGACACCACGATGACGATCGGCACTATCAAACTCCCAGTGTACTTGGACACATGACCAAGATCGTCAATTCCGTCGTAATCGGCAAACCGGCAATCTACAACGCTATTCTCGGCACCCCGTGGCTACACTAGATGAAAGCGATCCCGTCCCCCTACCATCAATGCGTATAATTCCCGACACCAAGGGGCATATTCACAATCTAAAGAAACCAAAAGGTCGTAAGGACCTGTTTCATCGTCAAACACAAGCTGAGAAAATCGACCCCAATGTGTCTGATGACGACTAAGGTGAAAGGCATACTCCCGCCACCGAACGACAAACAGAGAGAAAAAGTCATCAAAGTAAATATCGATGTAAGCGACCTGGAAAAATGCATCGGTATCAGAGCCAAACTAAATGACGACCTCAAAGACGAGCTGGTCGATTTCCTCCAAGAAAACGCCTCCGCCTTCGCCTGGAAGACCGACGACATGAAAGAAATACCCCCGCCCTTGCCCAACACGAGCTACACGTCGACCCAACTTTTAAACCCATTAAACAAAAGTGACGCAAGCTTGGTCCCGAATGAGCCAAGGCAGTAAACGACGAGGTTGAACGGCTATCGAAGGCGGGATCGGTCACGGAAGTCAAATACCCAGAATGGTTGGCTAACCCCGTTGTCGTAAAGAAGAAAAATGGCAAGTGGAGAGTCTGCATCGACTTCACAGACTTAAAAAGGCCTGCCCCAAGGATAGCTTCCCACTCCCCCCATATCGATCGATTGATCGAGGCGACAGCAGGCAACAAACTACTATCTTTCATGGATGTCTTCTCCGGCTATAACCAAATAACAATGCATCTGGACGATCGAGAAAAGACTTTATTCATCACCGACAGGGGCACGTACTGCTACAAAGTCATGCCTTTCGGCCTCAAGAACGTCGGAGCAACTTATCAGCGCTTGGTCAACAAAGTATTCGTCGACCAGCTCGGGGAAACGATGGAAGTCTACATCGACGATATGCTTGTGAAATCGCTTAATGCTGCAGATCACGTCGACCACCTTCTTGCCTGTTTCAAAAGCCTTAACGAGTACGAGATGAAGCTCAATCTGGAGAAGTGTACCTTTGCCGTCAAGTCTGGAGAGTTCCTCGATACCTCGTCACCAAAAGAGGATTCGAGGTAAACCCAAAAAAGATAGCTGCGATTCTCGATCTGCCGTCGCCAAAGAACACTCATGAAGTACAACGACTCACAGGCCGCATCGTCGCCCTCAACAGGTTTATTTCTCGGTCAACCGATAAATGTCTCCCCTTCTATCAGTTTCTCCGCAGTAACAAGCATTTCAATTGGGACGAAAAATGCGAGGAGGCCTTCGGCCAACTCAAGGAGTATCTATTAACGCCACCAGTTTTAGCGAAGCCTAAGCTTGGCGAAACGCTTTACCTCTACGTTGCTGTATCTCACTCGGCCGTCAGCGGCGTACTCGTCAAAGAAGACCGGGGCGAGCAGAAGCCGATTTTCTATGTAAGTAAGTCACTGGACGTACCCGAGAGCAGATATCCGACGATGAAAATACTCGCACTCGCCGTGGTGACTTCGGCCTGGAAGCTATGCCCCTCACAAATCAACCACTACGGACGGTGCTGCACAGCCCAAGTCAATCAGGGAGAATGACGAAGTGGGCTGTTGAATTAAGCGAATACGATATCAACTACAAAAACAGGATATGCGCCAAGTCTCAGGACCTTGCCGATTTCCTCATAGAGCTACCGCTTGGCTCTACTCTTGCCGACTCCCCAACCATCATGAAATGGTCGCTATACGTCGACGGCTCGTCATATAAAAACAGATCGGGTATCAGAGTTAGATTAATATCGCAGACTGGAGAAATTTTCGAGCAGTCATTCCGTCTTGAATTTACCGCATCCAACAACGAAGCAGAGTACGCAGCCTTTATCGCTGGCCTACGCCTGGCAAAGGTGATGGGGGTAAGGCAAATCCAAGCGTTTTGTGACTCCCAGCTAGTCGCTAATCAGTTCAATGGCGATTACGAAACAAAAAACGAACATATGGATGCCTACCTAAAAGTCGTCCAAAACCTTTCAAAAGACTTTGACGACTTCGTCCACACCAAAATCTTGCGCAGTGATAATTCTCCAGCCGATGCGTTAGCCGTGCTTGCGTCAACCTATAATCCAGACCTTCACCGCATGATACCTGTGGAGAACATAAAAATCCAAGCATTGAATTGACTAAGGGTACATGTGCAATGGTCGATCCTAGAGGCGGCATTGACAATCCCAACGAAGCCGATTATACGTCAATATACAAAACAGGCGAGTCCGCACATATAGAATAGATGGACGAAATTAAACCGTCCAGAGGTGTGTGCATAATCACCGAAATTAGAGATAGCCTCAACGATGCCGATGAAACCGGCATTGACGACGCCAACAAGATCGACTGCGAGCCGATGGATAGAGCCTGCGAACCCGTGCAACTCGATTGGAGAGATGAGATCAAGCTATACATCTCGGATGGAGAAGTACCACCTGACAAATGGGCCGCCCGACGACTTAAGGCACGGAGCACCCACTACACAATGCTCGATGAACACCTTTTCCGTTGGAGCACCTCGGAGGTGCTTCTGAACTGTATCGACGAAGACGAGGTGCAAGCAGTCATGAAGGAAACTCACGAAGGAGCTGGAGGAAACCACTCCGGGGAACGAACCCTTGCACTAAAAATAAAGAAGCAGGGCATATTCTGGCCGTCAATAATAACCGATTGCGAGAAGTATGTCTCCCGTTGAAAAAAATGCCAAAAACACTCTCCAACGATAAGGGTCCCCTCCGAACTCCTGACGGCTTTAACCATGGCCTATCCTTTCATGGGGTGGCATATGGACATCATCGGACCTCTTCTGGCATCTCGACAGAAACGATTCGTCTTGGTCATGACCGACTACTTCACCAAGTGGATCGAAGCCGAGTCTTATGCCAAGATACACATCATCGACGTTCATAAGTTCGTCTAGAGGTTCATCATCTGCAGACACGGACTTCAATACGAAATCGTCACCAACAACGGCTCTCAGTTC